TGCAGAGAGCTACCACAATGCTGCTGTAATAACACTTGGCTGCTGAATTCTTTCAATACATTAAATATCTCCTTGGAGACCAAATTACTTTACATTTTCTTAAAAGACAATTTATTATAGCTTTGTTTTCTTCTCATTATCTCTTAAAAATATATCGAATGAAGAAAAGAATACAACTTCTAAATAACTTACATAAAATTGTACTAATGTGTGACAACAGACTTTGGTTTAATATGCTGGTTATTATTTAACAGCACACAACCTATTGTCATGACAAATCCTTACCACAATGTGATATTCCACGTGTCACATGTATCAAAAACCACTGAATGCCATTACTATGGCGCTCATAAAATTAACAGCCTCAGGCTGCAAGCCATTTAAATAATTGATAAGTTTTCAATTAAAAAGGAAACATTTTCAAGTCTAATACAAAAATCTATTTGAATTACTGATAAAAACTTACACTTGAGTTGGCCCAAAGCCAAAAAATGCTTGCATCCAAGGGATGAAAAAGGTAATTCTGCAAGTTTCAGCTCAGATGTTGCAATTTTTTTATTCTTATGCGGAGACGTAGGCTATTTATTCATTCAACCTTAATAATCAATAGAAAAGAATGATTAAAGGGCCAATGGTAACGAGGTCTCTGCTTTTGCTTCCCTCTACACGGCTGTTAAATACAAAGGTGGCCACAATTTTACTGAATTCTCTACAAAACAGGAAGCTGTTTTGTCTTTACAATAAAACTGTGGTCCTCTGTCAATATCTTCCCAATGTCACTACACCAAATCCGGGAATCCAACTTTTTCAGAACCAAATTGAACCCAAAAAATAAGGACCAATGCAAATCTTTAATAATAGGCTGGTAGTCATGAGTACTATCCACCAAAATCTATTGTGAAACTAGGTCCAAATGGTTCTCTGTGACAAAACTGGACCCCAAAGGAATTTCCAACCCTAAAGACCAGGACGGATGGAAACGAGAGTCAAGTGATCTTGTCTGTGCTTTCTGTGAACTACTCTTTACCTTTTTAAATACTGACAGCTTCACTCTACACAAACAAAGGGCAACAGCAAGAGACAGGAAGAAAGGGAAATCCATTCAAGGTTCAAATGACCTAAAGCATTGTGTCTCAGAGATATTTTCATCTTCATTTCAAAATATTTTGTTGAAACATTCAGCATCAAAAAGGCAGAGTGGGTAGAGGGCTGAGGGGTGCTCATGTTCTACCTGTAAATTTTTGTGAGATGAATTAGAGGAAAGCTGGGCCCAACCTGCCACACCACAATCCATGGTCCCATATCAAGTCATAAAAAAAGTTTTCATCCATCTGTTGCCATGGTGATGAGATCCTGGGCAGGTTTCTAGGTTCTTGTGCGTGAGGGAATAAAGAAATAAATGTGGAATGTGATAGTAAGGAGAAAGCAGCAAAGCTGAATGAAGTTACTTAGGTGATGGTTTGCTCCACAAGTGGGCTTATGCCGGTGGAAAGAAAAATGACACAAGTGGGTGTAAGATTTAAAATGTTGCGCTGGGTCTAGGGCACCTCTCGCTGGGTCTCCCAGAGCGTGACTGACTATGTAATCGACAGGGTGCCGAGTCAGGTTGGCTAGGTCTACTGCGTATGTCCTTTCCCATAATTCACTTATAATCAGACGTAGGGGATGCAGCCCATATGCATGAGCTTCAGTGAATTCGAAGGAAGGAAAGATCACACAGGAAGATTTGGCATGCATGGGTCTTGGTTTGGGACATCAGCATCTTCCAAGGTGGGCCCAGGGATCTTTGTCTTTCTTGTCTCTGCCTCTACATAATAGGCCTTAGGACAGGGTTGGGGGGGTGGTGTCCAGGTTCAGGTGAGTGGAGGGGTGGGGAATGGACCCGTAGCCCCAACTGTACTATGTATATGACATCCACAGCAAATTAGGAAAGACCAAGAATAAGTTGAGTTTTACATAAAACTAATATTCACATTAAGAAATGTTGGCCTTCACTTCTGAGATTGCACCCTGCACAATTTTACTCTTTAAATTACTACTACTATTTTTCTTCATAAGATAATGCCAAAGGATAATTTGTACTAATCTACTTATTTTATGAATGTTCCTATGTGGCAAAATTAAAAGTTATTACACCTGTATCTGTCCTCATCTAAAAATGACAACGAGTTCATTATGAAATAAATTTGGGGATGAGTGAGCTATATGCTCTTTTTGGACTAAAGAATACCTCTCAAGAAATCTTGAGGATTTTTAAGTTTAATGATATGTAATGTAAGGTTATATAATCATCATTAGTATTTCATGTAACAAAATAATTGAACACTTCATTTGAAAAAATAAGCTACAATGTTTTTCAGACAAGGTCTCACCATGTACTTCAGGCTGATCTTTAACTCACTATGTATCTCTGGGTGGCCTCCAACATGGGAATCCTCCTGCTCCAGCTTACCGAGTACTAGAACTACAAGCCTGTGCCACCAGGCCAGGCTCTGTATTTTCAAATAGCTCTGAGGTAAGAGCTATTTGAATAGAGCAGAGGAAACAGAGCAGAGGAATAGAGCAGAGGAAATAATAAAGCAGAGGAAAACCAGACAACCAATTGGGTTGAAGGTGTCGAAGATCATAAGAACCCGTGGCTAATAGGTTGGGTGAGACATTTCCCAAAGGAAGAAGACATGCACACAATGCTGGCTCCCGAGTACCGTACAGGGCACCAATCAGAAAGCAATATTCTCAGTTCTTCGTGTGAATCTGGCCATGTCTGTAGGACCAGTCAGTAGATGCTGTTCTCAATCCTTCACTTACATATGGGTGAGACCCGTCGAGAGACACTGTTTCCCACCCTTCATTTTAAGCAAGTTTTTCCACAGGACTATTTACATCTGGTGTGAGACCAAGTGAGTTTTGATAGGACCACTGTCCCAACGCCAAATACGTATGAGGTGGAGGCCAATCCAGGTATTTGGGACACTAACAACCTCTTTCTCTCTACCCTTAGGGCACTGAGCCTTTTTATCACCCACTCTAACCCTGTAGAATGTACTTTTTTCTCCCTTCAATAAATGTACACTCTCACTGCCTTTTCCGTGCTTTCACACTTTGGTCAGATCACCTGTACGTGTAAAGAAACCTCCACAGACCCCATCCAGTAACAGTAGTAACACTTTGAGTAGGTGTGTCTCTGTCTCTGTCTGTTTCTATCTCTGTCTCTCTATCAACAAAGTTATCTACCGTTAAGTTGCCTCCCTGTCCTTAAACCTGAAATCTTCCTGCCTCAGCCTCTTGAGTAGCTAGGACTACAGGCCATGGACATGTCTTTTAACCAGAGCTCCCTCCTTTAAAAGCAGTGATCATGGTACCTATTTCACAATGATTATCAAAACTTAAAAAAGATACAGTACCTTATGTACTTGGTCCATTTCATGCACTCAGAAATGGAAGCGATTATTAGTATCACTATGATTGTACACAGTATGGTTTCTAGAAAAGCACAATTTGTAAGCTCTTCTGAAAAGTATATATCTTTTATATACACAATGAAAGTATACTCATGTCAGTTCTCTGCAGTAGACACATGTGAAAAAACTAGAGCCCCTATGTGCGCCTGTTTTCTAAAAATAAGCATGTCACATTCCCAGGAGAGCTGGTCAATCCATCAATACTCGTGCTAGACCTTTCTGAAGACAATCCTGCTCTGCCTTTCAAGTACTGATGAGCTCAGCTCTAAAGTCACAGTACACAAAGACTCCCACATAAGTTAATGGGAAGTCAATGGGAAATTGACTTTTCCTACTCTGTGCTGGTTGGAATGTAACGCTCTGTTAATCATGCCATCCTTCTTGTTCTCTTTCCTCCTATCCTAAATTAAAACTATTGGCGGAAACCCCGGATAGATAGTTTACAGTTTTCATTACAATGAAACAATCCTTGTTGAAGCAGAAGTCTCTCAAAAATCTACACCCTAACTGTTGGCTGGGACTACAGTCTCCATGAAAAGCAAGAGCCCTAATTCAACCAAGACACCACTTTGCATTTGTATAGAACTTTTGACTTTTCAAAGGGCTTTCACATCTATCATCCTTACAATGACCCTGTGCGGTGGGAAAGGAAAAGTATTATTATCCACAATCGACAGATGAGGCATCTATAGCAAATGAAAGATTAAATGATCTCCCTACAGCCAGGAAGCCAGAGAAGAGCTGTGTTCTACTTCTACTCCAATCCTCTTTCTAAGAGGTCACTAAAAAAGGTTTTGTAAACCGATTATAAACTCTGATAAAATAAAATAGAATTGAGATGAAAGCTCGTATCAGTGGTCAGGGAAGCTATGTTTCCTCATCATTGCCGAATTTTTCAAGCTTTGTATTAAAGCTTTAGAAATGTACCCTTTTCTCTGGTTTATTTCAGTCCCAGACAAATATTAAAGCAAATTTTCACTAGAATTTGAAATACAAAAGATAATTTTTTCCCCAGATATATTCGCATCACTTTGAATCCATAAGTAACCCTCTAGTTCATTCTGGGGTATGAGTAGGAAGATGGATAGAAGTAAAATAACTGACAGTACATCTTTAAATCCTGTATACATATTAAGCCCGCAGCTACATTATAACTATAGTCTGAAAGGGTGAAAGAGATCTCCAGTTGAAAGTAGATTTTGAAAAATTTTTAGAGCCCAGGGGTTCATTTTTAATGAGCCGTTACTTTAAGTACTGCATAAAAAATACAGGAAATTGATAGTCCATTTAGTCTGCACCATACCTAATGTAAAAGTCATTAAGATGCATTATTCTTAATGTTCATGATAGGATCAGTAAGTGTCTTTTGAAAAGAAATGCCCTTAACTTTCACATAAGGAAATCTCTGAAAACCTTATCTATTATTCAGAAAATGTTGTGGCAATCGTGATTACTTGCAGTCTTCCCCATGCCCAAAAAAGCAGCATCCTCAATTACATTAACATTTTTAAAAAGAGTCCTCATCTGTAACGTACTTACATATGACAGCATTGCCTTCATTTCTTCATCACTTCTCACAGTAATTCTATCGCCATCTTCGTCTTCATCTGTTTAAAACGAAACACAGGCCACGGGATAAGATTTGCATTTTTTAAAGTACAAAAATTGTGCTGCCTGGGAACATCATACAACTGGGATTTTTACAGCTTGATATCTAAACCCTCAATACCATAGTTACTGGGGGATATTGGAATTATTAGTACACTGTTTTGCTTTTGTTTGTTTGGAATATAATCGGAATCTCCAGAAAGACCTAAAACTTTGTTTTAGGGATGCAGGAAAATCAACATACTGCTCATGTCATTCATGACATGCATCCAGTTAAAGTTAATATAACCGGAGTACAACAAAGCATGTCTGGGAATTTTAAAAACCAAGGAGAAGCTGGTCCTTCTCTCCTATCGATACATTTTTATTTCCTAAAAACCACCCTGTCCCCTGCTATCTCTCCATTCTTCCTCTCTCTAAGGCAACCTATCATACCACAGAAGCATGATACAAATGGCTGATGTTTACTGAACACTATTTATACACAAGGCACTGTGACTGGTGCATCATATGTAATACCACCTTTAAAACCTTCCCACAAGTGCCGGGAGTGGTGGCACATGCCTGTAACCTCAGCACTCCGGAGGCTGAGGCAGGAGGATCACTGTGAGTTTGAGGCCAGCCTGGGCTACAAAGTGAGCTTAAGCCAACCTGAACTGCATAGCGAGACCCTGTCTTAAAAAGACAAAAAAACAAAACAAAACAAAAAACACCTTCCCACAAGCCTATGATGTGGATATCATTATTGTTATTTCCTTTTTTTTTCTTTTTGCAGAAAAAGAGCCCGAAGCCTAGCACAAGGGTGAACTTGAAAAGCAACTCCAGTACACATCTTTCTGTATCTCCCATTCCACCCAGCAGCAGATTTCTTTTCAAACACTGTCATTTTGTATGGGCTACTCTGTGGTCCTAGCAAGCCTCCAGTGGTGATTCAGGTTATTCTGAAATAACGTAACAGTATTAACACTAGAGAAGAATATGTCTTTACAAAATGCATCACCAGGTGTGCCGGGCATGGTGGCGCATGCCTGTAATCCCAGCACTCGGGAGGCTGAAGCAGGGGGATGAAGCAGCCTGCGCTACAAAGTGAGCTCAAGGCCAGCCTCAACTGCATAGAGTCCCTGCCTCAAAAAAAAAAAAAAAAACCAAAAAACCAAAGAACAAAATGTATCACCAGAACGTGTACACTCAAGTCTCCGCAAAGGGGCCACATCCAGAAACAATGTACTAACTTCAATAATTCTCTTCCTTGGGCTGAGGATATAGCTCAGTGGCATAAGCACCTGCCTGGCAAGCGTAAGGTTGTGAGTTTGATCCCCAGTACTGCAAAAAAAAAAAAAAATTCTCTTCCTCAAAATAGTTTTGAAACATTGCTTCAAAAACTGTTTTAAGAACCAAAAGAGAGATCACGTGAGATCTCACATCAGATCTCATTTTTAACCCAAGATGGAACTGCTGGCCAGATCACCTCCCCTTCCCATCTGCCCGCTGGACCAAGATGACTTCTGGCTATATCTGAATATTTAGTTAGACACTCCATCCTTCTAAAGGTAAGTATGTGTCAGTAACGTCTGATGAACTGAGTACACAGTTGAAAGAAAAATGCTCAAAACATTTGAGCGATGCTCACAGCCTCCCAAGGTGACAATCTGAAAGGGGAGGGCTCTCGGTTACTCTTGGCCTTGTACTTGCTGACCAATCAGATGCAGGCAATGTGCTGGCCCCAGGGCTGCCAGGCCAGACACCTCCTGTGAAGAGAACCGGCTTGCGGGACATGCTCTGGGGATGTTTACGGAAGAACCAGGGGATTTAGTTCCAACACCTGGATCTTCCCCCACCACACACCTGTGGGCCCAGCCCCTACCATCCAGCTGCGGTTCTGAAGCTGTCCGCCTGCCGGGTGATCAGGCCCCAGGGACTCTAGGAGGGGTCCAATCAGCCTACTGCCCAGAAAAATGCTACCGCTTCCTCCTCCTCAGTAGCCACCTGACAGCAAGATGGAAACCGGCATTTGCCAGGCAGCTAAAGATCAAAACACAGCACGCAGCACCCGGTCACCACACCAACAGCTCTTCCTCCCAAAGCATTTTCTCCGGACCCGGCACCCCGGCTCACTCTGCGGAGGCCCTAGACTCGATGTGATCAGTGTCCTCAAGTCACTCTGTCTACAAGGTAGGGCTGTCGAGAGCCATGACCCGCGTTCTGCTACCCAGGGCTGTCTGCTCTCAATGTAAAAAGTGCACCCTGGTCCCTTTCAGAAAGGACATAAAAGCCTAAGAATGAACATACACACACAAGTAGGGCTGGGGATATAGCTCAGCGGCACAAGTGCCTGCCTGGCAAGCGCAAGGTCCCGAGTTCAATTCCCAGTACCAAAAAAAAAAAAAAAAAAAAAAAAAAAAACCACACACAAGTGCTACAAGGGACCTGGCATGTTCTCTTTCCTTTTCAGTATAGACTCTCTGAGGCCAAACTGGGAGAGATATGCCATGTATTTATTTGTTCGTTTGTCTGTCCTTCTGAGACATGGTTTCACTACGTAATTCAGGCTGGTCTTGAACTCACTTTGCAGCCTACGCGGGTCTGGAACTTGCAGTCTTCAAGCCTCAGTATCCCATGTGCTGGCATTACAGGCCTGCGCCACCACGCCCAGCTGAGAAATGCCATTTTAGTTGCAGAAACAGAAAAAAGGACTTTCCATATACATCCTAGAAACTAACAGCTTTCGAGGTTATCAAAAGCTTTCTTTTTTTTGGTTTTTTTCCGGTACCGGGAATCGAACTCAGGCTCTTGCGCTTGCCAGGCAGGCACTGTGCTGCTGAGCTAAATCCCCAGACCCTCAAAAGTTTTCTGAAAAATGCATTAGACAATGAGGAAAAAACAGTATAGAAGAATATACTGTTACATATTACCACACAGGAAGGCACTTTATATTTTGCTTTAAAACCAGGTCAAATTCTGTTCCAGCCTGAAGGAAGTAGTTTTTTATAAATCTCCTTTCTGCACCAGAGCTAGCTATAGAGATGACGGCTACAAAGGGGGTGTTTACATATGAACTGTGATACACGCAAGACCTCAATACAATATTGCCTGCATGGGGCAGGAAGTTTGGTACAACAGGAAAAAAGTTTCTTATAGTTTCTAAAGACAGGGCACAAATTCCATAAATATCAGTTAAAACATAATCTCTGTAAATCAAGATACGAGAGAGCTGGGGGAGGAGTGAGGAGGGAAGGAAAGAGGAGGGAAGAGGAAAGATCCTGAAGTTCTCAAAGCCAGCCTTAACTATGTAAGCCTACCTAAGACAAAGTATTCTGGGATTCTGGACTTCTATCGACTCTCTTAAGGATTATTTCAGAAGGGAAAAAAAACCTAAGAGAACTCATGTAGTAGAATACATGCAGACCAGCTCTGTAAAAAGCTGTGAAACACTACCACCAACGCACTTGTTCAGCAGATGGAAAACTCAGGCTTTGATGCCAATTCCATTGTGAAGTGCTGGTGCTGTCCCATCAGGGGTCTGACGCAAGGAGAAAGATTCCAGGTTGAAAGGGGCATTCCAATAAAGCCTGGAGATAAAACCAGGCTTATGTGACACTGTGATTAATAACTCTTGTGGGTAAGACTAGATTTTATCTCAATCTTGGTTTTCTTTGGGGAAACTGTCTGCTTCACTCTAATATCTGAGCATAGTTGCTTTAATGAAGACTAAGATTTCCAGTTCAAAAAAAAAAAAAAAACTAAAATTGGAAAAATAACCACATCCATGAGAATAATGGAAATTCTGGCCAAAAGGCAAAATCTAAGCTGTATCTGATCAGCGGAAGAGCAAAGCACTCATCTTAACATTTAAAGTGAGAGTGTGCCTCTGAAGACAGGTAACAGACAGCAATGAGGAGTGGGGGAAGGTTAGCAATCAGAAATACATGCCAAGCCATCTACTGTGACAGTATTCTAAAATACTTATCTAAACCAAAGCTGGACATATACAACCCATCTCACAAACACTCTCAAACTGGGTTAGCTATTAAAAGTTACACTAGCTAGAATGATAAATCATAGGGGCTGGGGATTTAGCTCAGCAGCAAAAGCACCTGCCTGGCAAGTACAAGGTCGTGAGTTCGGTTCCCGGTACCGGAGAAAAACCAAAAAAAAAAAAGAATGATAAATCATAAACTTACTAAAAGGGCACAAAGAGTTTCAAAGGCATAAATATGTTGGTGAAGAACACCGGAAAGTAGTGGTACTAAAGTGGAAAGAAGTAGAAAAATAACTTGAACTCTTTCCATCTTATACATGGAGGTTCTTTGCCATCTGACCAGGAAAGCATTACTGGATATAACCAAGAGAAAGAGGGGGGCAGATCTGACACACTGGTTCACAATGAGAACTCCAGGCTTCTCTAGTTGCCTGGAGCACAGTAATATGATTTTCCAGCACATTAGGGAAGCAAAAGTAGAACCAGAAAGTCTATGTACTGGCTGGATTTTGTTAATGTCACTTAAAATGGAGGAAAAAATCCTAGCAAGATACCAAATAGAGTGCAGCAGATGGTAAACAAATATTATGAAGCAATCTTCACAAAATCTGCAGTGTGTCACAAATATACAAAACGGCAGAGTTTGGGAAAAGAGAATCACAAGAAGCCATATGTTGTTAGCGATTTTATTGGAAGCAACGTGCCATCTGAAAGAGAAACCTAGAAGAGGAACATAAGGGCCTCACAGAGGAGCGGCAGCCGCAGGTAGGGCTGGTCACGAGATGGCCACGGAGGGAGGGTGGAGCAGGAACAGGGCCGCCCAGGCAGCCGGGGCTCAAGAGGGCTTCCACAGGGAGCAACAGGAAGGGAAGGAAATATATTCTGTGTCATTTGTCACACTCCTGCGTCAGGTCAGTGAGAACTACAGCAAAGGCACTTTTCCCCGCCAAAAGGGAAAAGTGAAAACGTCACTGTAGAGGCTGGAAAGACATCCACAGGAAACTACCAGAAAGAATGTCA